CTACAAAATGTTAAAAACTGCCGGATTCTTATAGTTATGCTGATAAATACTACTTTCGTCTCAAAAATAGTATCATATTTAAAGAATCGAGACAATTTAATTTGTGAGAGTCACAATTTCATAAAAATATCACTTTTTATAAAACAAAAGGAGTAACACTTTTTATAAAACGGAGTAAATAATAATAATAATAATAATAATAATAATAATATGTCCAATCTTAATGTTCGGAAAATAATCCGAGTCTCACATGGAGGATCTGGATCTTTCTAATATTGAATTCTAAATTTATAAAGTTTTATTGTAATTTTTCTTCATAGACTCATTCGAAAAAGAACATTAAATCAATTTTGTCTAAAGTTTATAGAGATAGGATGGAGATAAAGAGGCATAAACCAAAAAGAGAGATGGTGATATTGATATCGAATTGTAAATTAATTAATCAATTCTTTTATGGCAATCCGTCACTTCTATTTCTAGGAATTTTTATACTACTTCTAGAATTTTTTATATTTTTCTCAATAATACCATCAAAGTAGTTCGCAATCTCTTCACATTCATTGTGTATTTTCAATCAAATGTCAAAAACCCATTCGATTTGGATATCATTCTAGAAAACATTTAATGAATTTTGTTTGAATTTTCATGCATTAATCAAATCTAGTTGAAAATTTATTTTCATAGGAGGAGTTTGTTGTATGACCCAGTGTTTAATCTCCACTTAGTATCTCTTTGTCCTTTCACGAAGAAAGTTTGAGGACAAGGCTCATTTATTCAGAGGTGAATAGGCCATTCATATGCCACGTTGATGTGGTTCAATCATAAATCAATAAATAATCCGCAATTATAAAATTAGGAAAGTGATAAATATGAAAAATAACTTTTTTTTGAAATAAATTCAGTCGTCATTTTCTTATCCATTATTTTCATAATTTTGTAATTACAGATTATTTATACATTTTTTATTGGACCAGGTGTATCAACATTATGAATGATCTACTCACCAATAAGCAAGTCTTTTCAAAAAATAAGTATTGAGACCGCCAACTAAGTTGAACTTTAAATTTCCATAAATGCATACTAAGGACTATTTAAAGACTAAACTAGAATCAAATTATATTTTTTATTGGACCACTGATGCAATGATTATGGATGCCCGTATAAATGTCTTGACACAAAAAAATATTGAAACCACCAACTAAGTTGAGCTTTAAATCTCCATAAATTGATTGTAACCACCAACGAAGTTCGAGCTTTAAATCTCCATAAATTTATTGCATACTAAAGACTATTTAAAGAATAAACTAGAATCAAATCATTAGTCACCATTATGGAAATGTTGATGCCTAAATTAGACCAATCAAAGAATGGGTTGGAACGGGTCGATTTTACTTATTTACTTATAATGACAGTCTAATATTAACTATGTAGACTATGTGTTAGGCCTAAATCAAATTTGTTCAACCAAATTTGTGTAAGATATGGTATAATTTTTTTCTAGGAAATTATTGACTCCTAGAAAAAAAATATGACCTAAAATCGACAAATATAAAAATATGACTTAATTATTCTAAAATTTTAACTTAAATAGGCGTCATTAATACTCTTATTTATTTTTCATAAAATATGTCTATTTCCCTTTTCGTTTTCAGAACAAATTTCATGGTGCTCAAATTTAGTAATTTGATTTGTATAAAATTTAGAGTAAAAACTGCAATGTCTTATAATTTTTCCATGCTTTTCAATTATTATTATTATTTTTTAAATTTTTCTTTGTGTGTTTATGGAGTCAAATAGATTATTAACTTTGATCATTACTATAACAATGAATAAATGTCTATCAAATTAATAGATAGATATTAATGATTAAAGACACAATCTACAGAAAACAAATATACAAAGAATAATACTTAAGTACTCACTAGTGAGGATTTACATTATATTTACTGCTAATATGGACCAATAATAAATGAACATGCCATTTTTAATTACCAAATCAAATGTGAAAATTAAAGATGGTATGTCTATCAAAGTAATATATGTATATTAATGATGAAAGATACAATTTACGGAGATGTAATTTGAAATATAAAATAAATATACATGTGGTTGAAATTTTAATAGTCAACAAAGATATTAGATTAAAATAAACCTCTAAAAGAAACTGCAACTTTTAAATAATTACTTTATAATGGGTCTATTATATTTGACACATGAATAACTATGTAATATCGATGAAATGGTAGATTTTTACTTGTCTGGCCAAACAGCATAGTTCATACTTAAGGAGAAGCCAAAATTACCAAAAAAAAAAAAAAACAAACAAACAAACAAAATTAAGGAGAAGCCAAATTATTTTTTTAGGGTTACAGAGGAGAGAGAAAGTGATAACTCCTTTGATCTCAACCTCCTCCATTGTTAGGGTTAATGAGGAGAGAGAAAGCTATGTCTCGGACCCAATTCGCCGATAGCCCTGGCAAAGGTTCACCAGAATCCTCGCTGCTCACGCACGTCCATACCACCTCACGCATCACCATTTTTTACGATTTTGTTGAATCAATTACAATAATTTGATTTATTATTTTGTAATAATTTTACAATTACACTAATTGATGCTGGTGGTATCATGGCTCATCAGAAGAAGATCAACAAAGTGAAGTGGATAATGATTTTTATACCCAAATTTATAAGTTGAAACATGAAGGTTGAAGGGGATGAATTTATAATTGTCATTCGTGTATTCTATGTAGAACGAGTGGGGGTTCTCGATAGGGATATGACTGGAGGATGGGCCCCTCAGAAAATAGGGGGAGGCGTATTGTCCTTTTCCTTAATTGATCCGAATCTCTTTATCTCTAACTAAAACCAGGATGTTGTCGGTGGAACTGTGTTTAGTTCTTCTCGTGGCCTTGTTTTCGGTCGGTTTCACATTGATGTTCTCTCATGAGCAAGAAACTCACACATCATTTGAGAGGTACAATTAAGCTACAGTCACCTTTTGATAGTGGTCTATCATTCCCTCCTTATTTTGTGGTTCACCAATTCATGCTTTATCAAATCATTTTTTGGAGAACTCCATTGTTTTCTCATGCTGTCACCTCCAATCCGCTCAATACCACAGTTCAATTATTTATTTTGGTTACAAGTTTCCGTCACAATTTATTCATACATAATTGCTCTGAAAATGAGATTACTTGTTTCTGTAACTTAATCATGGATTTCAGAGATCATGACAATGTGACATGTATATTTTTTTCATTACGATTTCACTTTATTTATTGGGTATCATCCAATTTCAAAACAAATTTTTGGATGATGTAACATGGAGTCAGATCCGATTAATAAAATGAATTGAATTTCCATCAATTTCATCATTTTAATGTAGGAGAAAATCTGATGTCATTCGGACTAGTGTTTGTCTCAACGAATATCTCCTTGTCATTTCCCATAGAAAGTTTGAGCTTTAAATATCTAGTCTCTGCAAAATCAATGCATCTTAAAGACATCAAATATACATGATTGTTCAACTGCTCTATGGTGAGTAGCTCCTTTCCACCACTGTCGGTCCGTCGCACCGCCCACCTCCTCCTCCACTGCCATGACCGGCCACATCCCCCAACCATAGAACAACACTACCACCTTCATCACCACCAAACTGCCACCAAGGACGGATCCAAGGGTGGGCGAAGCTGGGCTTCAGCCCACCCCAAAAAAAAAAAAAAAAATTTTTTACATACTACTTTAAGCCCAGTCCAAAAAATAATAATAATAATAATAATAATAGTAACGGTAGCCCAGTCCAAAATTAGCCCAGCCCAAAAATAGTCCACCCCATTTAGAAAGGCTGGATCCGCCCTTGACTGCCACCCACCACCACCACATACACCAATAATTATAAGGATGTGAGTTTATAGATGCCCTGATCATGATAGGTTTTGTCTATCAAATTCTTGTCATTTTCTCGTGATAATTATAATAAATGATGGGATCTAGATGCAGCCCTTTTAGTTGTATATTAGGTTCTTGCGAATCACAAGAATAAGGATCTTTCATGTTGATTGACTATGATGCCCAAAGTAAATATTGTGTTAAATTAGCATTACAGTTTGCCGGCGGCTCATTTTGATGTGGCAAGATTATCTGCAAGGCATTAATTTGTAGATTTGGTAATTCTTAGTCAAAAGTAGCCATCAAATGGTGGAGTTGGTGTGGTGGGGGAGGTGGTGGTAGGGTAGAGGTGATGGTGGTGGTGGGGTGATGGCAGTCCATGGGTGATGACAGTGGAGGTGATGTGGTGGGGTGATGATAGTGGTGCAGGGAGCAGTGGAGGTGGTGTGGTGGAGGTGGTGGTTATGTAGCAATGGTGGCTACGGGGTAGTGGTGGCTGCGAGGTAGTGGCAGGGTAGAGGTGAAAGTGACGGTAGGGTGATAGTAGTTCATGATTTTTTTTCGTTGGATTAAATCCTCAGACTATGAGTAAAAGTGATTATACTACTCCTAATGAGAAGTTAAACAATACTGATTAACTATATATTCTAACATAGAGTGCACACGCCTCAATTTGATTCTATTTAGAGAATAAAAACTAGAACCCAACCGATCCTCACGATTGTAAAAAGGATGAAACTTAATCAAAGATATCGCCAATCAAAAACAATTTGGATAAAGTCGATATTACTGATTTACTTGAACTACATCTTGCCCAAATTAAGTTTATTCAACCAAATTTGTGTGAGGTAATTATTTCTCTCTATTATTTACTTGAGCATACATTTCGATTTTCTAAAATCATCAAATAGTACTGCAATAATAGATTATGCTAATAAGAAATATATTATTATATTCTTATAATTATATAAATGAGGGACCAGGTTTGAAAATGATGTGTGAACTTCACAGTTCACACCCCATAATTAAGGGAAAGGATAATTTTGGCGTTGTAAAAACTGGGGGAGGGGGAAGATGCATATGCTGATATATACATTTGAGTAGAAATGCAGTGCCATAAAACCTCAATAACAAATGGATAACAGGAGAAAATTAGAGTTCAGTACCACTATATGGGGGTAAGAAACAGTTCCTTTTGTTCTTTCTTTATTATTTTGTGTGTGTGTGTGTGTGTGTGACTGTGTGAGTGGTGGACTGTTGGTGGTTGGGGGGTTTCTTTTTATATATATGGGGATAAGAACCAGTTACCCCTACCCCCTTTCACAGTAAGTTCATGTCAAAAGTTTTAAAGACTTGAACTAAAAATTCTCTTGCAAGAACCTATAAAGCTCTTCTGCAACAATATTGGGATATTCTTCTTGTGGGAGGAGAGCGCCCGGCACCTCAATAAACTTGCTAACCCCTTTGGCTTCCCTGAGGGCTTCCATCTCTGCTTTTGACCTCTTGGGAGCGCCTGCAGTTGACATAACTAAAACTGGCATCCTTCCCTCCAACCCTGCAAATAGCTCAAGGAACTCTTCTCGGGACGTCACAGGGTCAACTAGGCCGGTCAAGAAAGCAGCGGGAACATAACGGGCGCCCTTCCTTTTTGTCAGTGCGTATCTGCTATCAACAATACCCTGTGTCACATTTTCAGGATCTGCATACACATGAGATTTGTACTGCGACTGGATTGCCTTTTCATTGCTGACCAGCACATTGTACATCATCCAACCCACAGCAGGGGCCCTTAAAGTTCCCCTAAGCAGACCATACCTGTTTATTTCAAAGAAATGGAAAGTGAGATCAGGAAGATCAAGTACATTAATCAAAAACAAATATAGTGTTCAGAAATTTTGTTCACAGAATAAAAAAGTTATCGTCATTAACGATATATGATTCGAATCCAGTGGACACACCACTCCAAGGTTCGATGGGAAAATGGGAAAATCTTACAAGTCAAACATGTGGACTTATTACATTAATCAGCAACACATGGTACAAATTCCATCCAAAAAGAAAAGCTACGAGGAGAACCTCATTTAATTGATTTCTGGCCTTAAATACATTTTGCAGGCAAGATTATAGGATGTTGACATACAATAGCACTTCAACGCCAGTCAGCAAGTCGTCCATACTAGAACATAGACATATGGAGTTTAATATTACCTTGTTTCCATGTTGGATTCTCGACCAAACACAATAGGAAGGGGCCCTGCCCAGGTGGGTGCAATAGCAGCAATGGCAATTGGCTTCACCAGACCCTTTTTCGCAGCACGAATTGCTATTGTCGCAGCATGCCCTCCTCCGAAGACCACTACATCATTCTCTGATCAAATATTTAAATTATTAGCAAAAGGCATTGCCAAATTTGACTGAATAGAATTAATGTTGGAAAGCATAAAAAATGTTGAAATTGACCGGACATTGTCCACCAGGCAAAATTCTGAGGAAAGCATCAAAAAAGTGAAATTAAAATGAATACCTAGAATTGAAATTATCCTCTTAAGAAGCTATGTTACTGAAACATCACATGCCAAAAGAGAGCTAAGTGGTTAGTTTTGCTTACAAAATGATAAGACAATTTAAAAGGAATGGCATAGAAATTTAAAATATTCATATTTGTGCTTTGTGAATATAAGAGCCCACAAAGTCCTCAGCCGAGAATGTCAATAACATCTATGGGTTTCTGGAATTAGTCCCCAACCCCAACTAATTTTGATATTACTGCAAGTCCTCTACTACCAAGCAAGCTTATTTAAAGACTTAAATTCTATTTCCTCGACGTGATTGTTTAAAAAACAAGACTAGTAAATTTGGTCGGACCATCCAACTGGACACCTATTAATTTACAGGTGTTCTAAAGCCTCAAAAGCTCTTCTGAAAAACTATTATATTTTGGGCACGTTTGGATTGGCTTTCTGGCTTTTTGAAAGCCGCTTTTGGCTTTTAGAACTGAAAAGTCATTTTGTACCGTGTTTGGATTACAACACCGAAGAGCTTCAAGCATGTGGAAGGGCGTTTGAGTGAAGCTGGGGGAGGGTAGCTTTCAGAAAACGCTCTCCCTGATGGACACGGGAAGCCGTTTCTAGTTTTAATGAAACTTTTATAATTCCCATAATACCCCATGTTTTATAAGTAAATCATTGTTTATTCCGAGCGTATCCCAAAAAATCTCCCATCATTTAGCGATTGTTGTCTTCTAGGGTTTCTGCTCACATTCAACTTCTTAGGTTTACTCTTGACAACGGCAGCAACACTATGCAATATGGACCACTCGGCAGCCTCCAGCAAGAACAAAAAACCATCTTATATTCAAGGGTCTTCTGTGAATTATTTCTTGGGTTGTGTTTATTCTTCAATTTTGGATATGAACAACTACAATATTATCAGTTGTTGTGATATTTTACCTAATGATTTGTCCCAGAAGTAAATATAGCGATTTAATGGTCCAAAGTTTTTGTTATTCTTTGTTAGTGCTCTAAATCTGAAGGCGAAGCAATCAGTGTGGAGAGAAAAGGGAACGGATGGTTATTAACTTCCATTATCCATGCAGCAATTTTACTTGTCAGTTGGTGGTACATGAAAAGTTCTTACAGTATATTACTTTTTATAAAATTTTACTGTCGTTGGTCTAATAAAATGTGTAAAATGTTTAAGGCCTTTGTTTATATGAAATGTAGGTGAAGAAATGCTTCTACACTAGCACACACAATTAAAATTTTATGAACTGATATAATGATAAAATAAAATAAAAATGTAATATCACAACTTTGAGGCCTTGGTTTACTTTATGTTACCAAACAGTTCCAAAAAAAAAAAAAAAAACTCTATATAAGGGCTAAATAGTTATTTCAATAATAGAAGTGCTTCAACAAATATTTTGCCAAACACACAGAAAAATTCTTATGACATTGAAAGCTCTTCTAAAATACGGTTCCCTAACACTAACACATAAGCCATATGGAAGTGATAACTTATGCTTCTCTTTCTCTTCTACGTAAAAGCTGAAGTAAAAGTTATGCCAAACGAGCCCTGAGAGAAATTTTAGGGCTCCACCTCTCTGTTTCAAAGCAGCAAACTCCCTCCCTCCCACCCACTACACTCTCTGTAAAAGAGAAATTCCAGGGCTCCACCTCTCTGTTTAAAAGCAGCAAACTCTCTCCCTCCCTCTCTATCTCTCCCTTCCCAAATGACAGATACAGAGCTACCCAATCGAAGTTCTTCTAACAGTTACAAATTCTCCCATTTGGAAGTCTCTCTTTATCTACCTCCCTTCAACAGTTTTGTAAGGTAGCCACCAGGTTGACTCCACCCCAACTCTTTATCTTTGCCTCTTTAATTATAAATGTTTTGTTCATCTTGTTGTTTTTCATTATTATGACTTGTTCAAAAATATATATATATATATATATATATATATATATATATATATATAATTTAAAGACTTCTTTCGTGTTGAAAATATTGGAAGCAACCAGCAGGACACATGTATAAAGCAATGTTATCAAACTAATATGCAATTATATTATACATTTATGATGTCACCATGAAATTAAAGTCCAAATTCGGTTCTCTAAATTTTGGCCATGGTATTAGCATAAGATTTACTTCCACAAACCTTCTAAAATCATTAAAAAATGGTAAGAGACGAGTAAGTCCTGGGGTAAAGAAAATTCCAAACCATGACTACAGGATTTCTCAAAAGGTAGCAACAAAAAGATAAATTCAAAGATAAAGGAAAATAAAACTGTTCCATTAAACAGAGATGTGCACCCGTGTGGTTATTAAGTAAGACAAATTTCATCACACCTGATTGACTGACACTTTCTACATTTCATTCAATTATATTTATTTTCTGACCTTTTGGTCGACAATAGCAAACAAGGAACCAAAGCAAATCAAGAAAAGGACCTAAACAGGCTAATTTATCCAAAGACAATGATATTACCTGCATGTAAAATTAGAAGACCCCCTAAGAGATAAATTTCATCTAAAAATTGTTGTAGAGGTCTAACAAATTAGTAAATAGAGGATTGGTAAAGCATAAATTAAATAATTAGAACTTTTGCCGCATTAGACCATGGCATGGTAATTAACACATTATAATCAATATAAACACACCATTTCCTATTAAGGAGGAAGATATAAACATCAGGCAAGACTCTAGCATGCACATCATGCATAAATAATGGCTAAGACTAACAAAGATGACGCATACAATAATAGTTGATATATCCACCTGATTATGACATAGTAATTGAACCCATTATAATGATGCAAACATATCATTTCTTAGAGTAATGCTTTTAAGAGAGCTCCCTCATGACAAGAGCAATGAGCTCTCCACATTCAGCCAATGGATTGAAATATGCATTAGATGATCCATTTGACTTTGCACAGATCTCAAAACAGTGGCTTAATCTAGTGCTTAAATGTGGAGAGCTTGTGGCTCTTGTCATGAGGGAGCTCTGTTGTCATGAGGGAGCTCTCTTAAGAGCATTACTCCATTTCTTATTAAAAAGAAACATAAAAGCATTAACAGACTCTAACATGAGCACCTTATAAAGTAATGGCTAACAAAGATGATGGACCAAAAAATAAAAAAATAAAAAAAAAGTGTAAACCACCTGAGCTGCTTACTGGACTATCAGGTGCATTCATGAAGTCAACAAGGAATTTCTCCATGACATCAGCATTGTAGTCCAGCTTCGGCCTATCAGAGTAACCCAGACCAGGCCAATCAACGATAGTGGCTCGCCAATTGGATTCACCAACACGTTGAACGATTTCTTTAGCCACTACTCTCCATTCTTCAACAGTGCTAACATCAGAAATTGTTGGTATCATAAGAATGTTCTTAGTAGGCCCGCCTTTCTCCTTTTCATGTTCCTCATAATAGATATCAATAGAGTTACCCTTGAATTTCCATTGCCAATTATTGGACTGAAAGCAGAATAAATCAGTTCCACAAAGTACTGTAAGACTGATAATTAGCACAGAAATTTAAATTTATAGCACAAATTGTACTCAGAAAAAAATGATAAGATTGTGATGTAACCAATTGAATTCAATAGCAATCAAATATTACATTTGGAAATCACCAAATCACACAAATAACTTCCTGAATCCAGTTAGTACATGCATGTACTCAAGAAGGCCAGCTTTTCATGCAAATCAACTAACTGTGGTTGCAAAACGAAGGGTTTCAAGAACCAAGTGGAAATGTATCATTCCATATGATTGACTATGCATGGCTTCATGACTTGAAATAAGCCAATCTGGTAGCACCTATACGATATTTCATACAAATGCAGGAAACAAAATCATTCAATTTCCATTGTTATTTCATATACAAACCCTCACCAATCACAAAAAATACATTTACAAACCCTTCTGTTACTTCTTTCTCTTGCCCTCAAATTGCCATTGAAATGAAGCTATTAAAAAAATATAGGGTAAAATGCAAAAAAAATCCCTAAACTATTGGGGTATTGCAAGAAACCCCCCCTAGACTATGTTTTTGTTGCATTTAACCACATTGCGACTTCTTCCGGTACTGGAAAAAGTAAAAGACCAATTTACCCCCTACACAATTCTACACCGTTTTAAATTAGTATACTGAATTCAACTCTTACCATCTACTGTACATATGCTGGTCACCATACTTAAACCAAATCACAGTAAGCAACTGGAAAAGAAAATTGTAGAGAGAGAGAGAAGAGACCAAAGACAAAAAAAAAAATAAAAAAATCAAAGAAAGCATCCATGGCAGACCAGATAGAGAAAATCAAAGATGTTCTACACCTCCATGCGACACCTCCATGCTGGGGGCGGTTTTTGGGTGCCTCTCGATTCATGCCGCCTCACCCATGGTGGTTCCAGCCACCCCGGTGATGTGGATCATGGTGCTGCTGACTTTATGCGGGAAGCCAAGGAGGACTCTGGTGGTGGAAGTGAAGAAATTGACGGCTAATAATTCTAGCACAAACCGATATTGAGAGAAGTGAGTTTGATTTGGGGATTCAATTTTGGGATTTGAGAAATTAGGGTTCTAACGAATTGGGGTCTTGTAGCTTACAAATTTGATGAAATATATTTGTGAGTGTATATATATTTTTTTTCCTAGTTGGTACTCACACACTTGTCTCTTCTGAGACTTGAACCCCTAACCTCCCTCTGAAAATTAAAAGGCTGATACCGCTAGGCGACTGGCCCATTGGTTTGTGAGTGTGTATATATATATTTCAATGCAGACTCACAACGCACAACAGAGTAACAAAACCAAATAGAGAGAAGGGAATTTTTTTTCTTTTATCAGAAGCAAAACATATATGTGTGTGTGTGTGTGTGTGTGTGTGTATCAATACAAAGCATCGACTAACACATAGCACAGACAGACCCAAATTGAGAGGGGATCATTTTGGCAAGTTTTTTTTTTTATTTTTTTTTTATTTTTTTATTTTATCAAAAAGCGAGTACATATATATGTGTATAATGTGTGTCTATATATATATCAACACAAACCACAAAATACCCAAATAGAGAGGGGTTGGCATTTTTTTTTTTTTTAAATTCAGAAAAGCAGGCCTTGTGAAGAAGATGAACAATGTGTGCGTATATATGTGTGTGTGTGTGTGTGTGTGTAGACAAAAGAGTATAAGGGTGTGTTTGGGTGCAAGTCATTTAAAGAGGGGTTTGGTGTTATTGTTATAATAAAGGGCAATAAAGTCTTTTTATGGTCTTATGGGTATTATAGTCATTAAGTTATATTTTGTATGTCACGTGACTGTGCATGATCAATTTACCGGTGAGATCTTACCGGTTGATCGCCAGATGGGGCTATCTGCAACAAAAATGTATAGTTCAGGTTTTTTTTTAGTTCAGGGGGGTTTGTTGCTGATTGGCCAATAGTTTAGGGTTTTTTTTTTTTTTTTGCATTTTACCCAAAAACATATATCATTTCCATTTAATTCCAATTATTTGAAGTGTGTGTGTGTGTATATATATATATATATATATATTTGTAGTTTATCCTTCTTTTTTTTTTTTTGGAAGTCAGGAAATAAAACCAGTTAGTATTACTATCATTTCAACTAATGACCCCCTTTTCCCACAACTTTTCCTTATTTTTAAGCCTGAAACTGAAATTGCCAACAAAAGGAAGCTAAGTAATTTCATTTACAATTACCCTGGCAACTGGATTATAACTTTTTCTTCTTCTTCTTCTTTTTTTGCCAATTCTCCCCTTATTGAAAGTGAACTGATTATTAGTATCACACACACATAAATATATGAATGTCAATCCAAAATAGTATTCTCCCCTTATTATTATTTTTTTGGGGGGAAGTCAGGAAATTAAACCAGTTAGTATTACTATCATTTCAACTAATGACCCCCTTTTGCCACAACTTTTCCTTGTTTTTAAGCCTGAAACTAAAATTGCCAACAAAAGGAAGCTAAGTAATTTCATTTCCAATTACCCTGGCAACTGAATTATAACTTTTTCTACTTCTTTAATTTTTTATTTATTTATTTATTTATTTTTGCCAATTCTCCCCCTTATTGAAAGTGAATTGATTATTAGTATAACACACACACATATATGAATGTCAATCCAAATTACCAGATATGGCTTTCATTTCAAGAACAATTTCTTTATCAGATATGAACAGTTAATAAATTGGAGATGGCTTTCATTTCAAGCACAATTTCTTTATCAGATATGGACAGTAAACAAATGAGCTACCAGTTTAAAAAAAAGGTTGAGATTACTTGCCTTTGACGCAATCGGCGAAGATTTATCAGCGACTGAGGTCTTTGAGTAATCCAGAGAAGTTGAACACTTAACAGCTAGAGGTTTCAATAAGTAAACAGTTTGAGGAAAAGAGGGCCTATAGCCATAGGTTTTGTGGGAAATAGTGAATGAAGGCGAAGAAAAGCGAGAAATTGCAGAGGTGGCCATAAAGAAGACCAAATGGAGGGAGATCTGGGAGATAAATTAGGGTTAGGGTTAGGGTTTTACTACAACAATACACAGCGAGAGTGAAGGATTGGTTGAGTATTGAGCCCTATTCATATTCTGATATAGCTGATTTTTTGTGATCCACAGAACTTTGACCGTTGAATTTGATTCTTTGACTTTTAACCACCGTGGTTTCCAAAATAGCACTAGCGGTCGTACGTTGAAAGGTTAGAAGTGTTTTTTATTTTTTCCCAAAGAGCTACTAAATTAAATTCTAAAATAATAAAATATATTATATTTATATATATATATATATATATATATGAAAATCTGGAATGACGTTTAGCCGAATGATAATTCTTTCCAAATGAGTGATGGAGTGTTCTGAAATAAAACGATCAGGTGAGAACAATTTTAACCATTTTTATTCTTAATTTCTTAATATCGAAATTAAAATTTTATAATTCCCAAAAAAACTAACTGGAAAATCAAATCCGTTTTTTTTTTATTTATTATTATTCAATTTTATTATGAGAATGATAGTGTCATTCTTTTAGTCGCTTTGCTTAGTAATTCTCATGCTATTGCCAAAATCTTTAATTCTTTGTGTTTCTTTTTAAATTCAAAGAAAAAATTTCTAATATTATATCCTTCCAACAGTTCAATGATTAGCTTGCTCCCACCAAACGTTCGTCTCCTGCACCTAACCCACGAATTAAACCTACTACAACAACCAATATCAACTTTTGCTGGAAAAAAAATATTGTGGGTTCTGCAAGAATTGAAATACCATATCTAAACATTATGAACAGCCTGCCTGAGTATCAAGACTTGTTCCTAGTATCAATAGTTTATCAAATCAGTGATTATCATCAACCCTAAAGTGAGAAAATGCTCAGGCAATCATATCAAGGAGTGGAAAATTTTCCCAACCAAATAGATTTTTCCATAAGCAGAAAACAATATTGAGCACGCAAAAAATCGTTAATTTGGTAATTTAGATTCTAAACAAGCACCTTCTCTGAATAATTACAATGATTACAGCCATTTGAGCTGATGAACACCAAATTGTGGGAGAACATTAGCTTAAGCAGAAATAAAATTCAAAAGAATGTGAAAATTTGTTTAGATCAATCATTTGATTAGAATGTAAGACTATGTAAGTAGTAAATTCTGCACCAACCCATCCATATGTGTCATTTGGTCAAGGACCTCCACTTAACTAGATCAAGGAATCCATATCACATTGATCCTTGTGACCATTCTAAGAAGATAGATTCACATTTCCTTATCCATCCAGTGCATATTGATCTGGATTGTTGGTAAGAGAAATCAGACATTCAGAACAATCCGATAAACTGCCATTTTTTCTGATTTGTTTCTTCTGCAGTACTGATTACGATGTCTCTCTCATTGATTTGACCAATTTCCATCTTTCTAACTCATCCTCATGTAATGGTGATTCAATTGTTTTCTCCAATGATCGAGTGAAATACCATTTCAGTTACTCCATTGTTCATTAGTCACCAGTAGTCTTGGCATGAACAGGAGCCACCCTTGAAGGAGTGAAACCGACTTCTATCTCTCACCACAATATCCAATTTATAAACCTTTGAAATTAGTTTCATTACAGTATGACAGTCCTTGCAAACCCTCAAATTCTTCACTACTCTTATAACCCTTCCCTTGCATGATCTTGCCATCCCAAAAGCAACAGCAAGCTTTTCACTGTGCACAGACACCGCATCTTCCTTTTCTTCCTCTTCTATATCATGCAGAACACTCCCAACCTCTGGAACATAACCTCCTTCAACCCTAAGCTTCAACATTATCTCCTTTAGCTTCTCATAAGCCTCTTCTACAAACTTACTGTGCTTTACACCTGCCAGAAAGCTGTACATGACTTTGTCAACTTCAATCATGCTCCAACCAGGAGTTTTCTTCAACCTCTGGTTAGTCATTGATCTTCTCACAGTGGCAACATCCTTCCATTTCCCCGCAACAGCATATATATTTGACAACAAAACATGGTCACCAGAATTATTAGGGTCAAGCTCAGAAAGTCTCTCCTTCACTCGCTCTGCCAATTTAACATTACCATGAATGCTGCAAGCTCCAAGAAGAGTCCGCCAAATAATGACATTGGGTGATATCGGCATTTGAGTTACAAATTCATAGGCCTCATGCAGCCTGCCAGCTCGACCATAGAGATCAACCATACAACCATAATGCTCAATGGCTGGTTCTATACTGTACATTTCCCTCATCTTAGAAAAATATCCACATCCCTCTTCAATTAATCCAGCATGACTGCAAGCATATAGAATCGAAATGAAGGTGATCCCATCAGGCCTAATTCCAGATTCTTCCATCTTATGAAAAAGTTTTATTGCCTCTTTACCATGCCCTTGAAGTGCCAGCCCAGCCATCATTGAAGTCCAAGAAACAATGCTCTTCTTTCCTGGCATTCTTTCAAAGACCAGACGAGCCATACCCACATTCCCACATTTAGAGTATGTATCCAAGAGCGCGTTATTCACAGAACTGATCCAAACAAGTCCAGATTTCTCTATATATCCATGTAGGATTTTCCCAAACTCAAATGCCCCGGCATGGGCACATGCAGAAAGAACCCCAGTCAAGCTTACTTCATTGGATCTAATTCCCACCCGTTGCAACTCTCTAAAAAATCCAAATGCCTCTTCAAAAAAACCATTATGAGCAAAAGCAACGATCATAGTACTCCAAGAAACGTCGTCTTTCACGGGAATCTTTGAGAACAATGCTTTTGCAAGCTCAAGCTCACCCGCTTTAGTGTACCCCGCAAGCATGACATTCCAAGAAGTCAAATTCGTAAATGGCATTCGATTAAACATTGCCTCGGCGTTCTTTACATCGCCAGACCTAAAATAAGCAGTGACTATCGCATTCCACGCCACCACATTCGGTTCAAACATATTCTCGAAAACCTTCCGTGCAAAAGCAGCACACCCACATTCCGCATACATGCTAACAAGCGTTGTCCCAACAAAGAGATGGGTATCGAAGCCGTGAACGAAAGCTTGAGAATGGAGTTGAATCCCAGCTTTCAGAGACCTGAAATTCGCAGATGCCTTGAGAACGAATGCGAAAGAGAAGCTATCAGGAGGAGCAGTCGATTTCCTAAGCATTTCAGTGAATGTGAGGATGGAATTTTGAGGGGAATCGGAGTCGGAGAGTCCTCGGATGAGGGTGTTGTACATGAAGACATCTGGGTTTGGAGTGTGAAGGAAGAGACGGCGAGCGTAATCGAGAGCATCGGAGATCAAAACGGCGCAATGGAGGAGGAGTTGTCCGGCGACGAAGGTATCATTGTCGAGGCCGGTCTTGCAGGCGTGGGCGTGAATTTGCTTGAAACTTTTGAGGGTCTTGCAATCTTTCAGCAATGAAACGCATACATGTTCTGTGCTGTTCATTCTCTGTTTTTCACTCCGTTGTCCAAGCTCCCTATTTGAAATTTAGAGCCAATGTTATGTCAGCCGTATGTCCATTCGAGAAATGTATAATATAATATAAGGTAAAATGCAAAAAATAAAAAAAATAAAAATAAAATAAAAAAATAAAAAATAAATCTCAACTACTGGGGTATTGCAACTAACCCCGAATTACAAAAAACCTCCCCCAAACTATGCATTTGTTGCAATTTAGTCCCTGAGTCAACATTTCAGTACCCAAAAAGCCAAAAGACCATTGTACCCTAAATAAAACGACACAGTTTAAAGCAAAGGAAATCTTCAGTTGATGATGTGGAAAGTGAAATCTAAAGGACCAAGCGACAACAAGACAATTGTGATAAGGTTACAGATATATCCCCTCAACCACACAACCCTATCCAACCAATGGCGCCATTTTTTGTCTTTATCAACAACTAGCAGTTGTAGAGCTCTGCAACTCCTCTCTTGCTAAAACGTGACTAAAACCTTAACGTCTCTTTTGCTACAAGTGTTGAAGCCTATATCAATAACTCTCTTACCCTAAATAATTGATTGAAACCATTTCTAAGTTGAATTTGTAGATGATTTTTTTACTAGTTTTATAACCATTGTCGTTGTTTTCTTGGTATTTATAAAACATATTTTCATTTTGAAAGGATTCGAAGTCTACATATGATGTTGATGTTGTTGTTTTCAAGTATTTTTTCAATGCCTTTGTGTCACTTGATTTTTAGTTTTTTTTTGCCTTTTTTCTGTTGATGACTTACTTTCGCCTTTTTTTTGCCTTTTTTTTTTGTCAAATGTTGTATGCCTTTGTGTTAATTAATTTTTAGGTTTTTTGTGTCTTTTTCTGTTGATGTAGTTGTTTTCAAGCCTTTTTCTGCAATCTTTTTTTTTTTTTTTTTCAAATGTTATCTCGATCAGTGAACTTTGTCTTCATGAAACAGTATAAGATTATTCATGTCATTGGCGGTCCCTCTGTTGAATATATGTTTTTTTATGCTTTGTAGTGGTTAGGTAGTCCTTGTGTATAAAATTTTGCTGGTTATCATTCATTGAATTGTCTTTGTTATATGATTTTTTTTTTTACACCTGTTCAGCGTAATGTGCACAGTTGTTGACAATAATTTGTCTGTACATTTAATGATTGAATTAATGGTATGTACACTTATTCACTGAGCCCACTTGTTTATTTAATTATGTTCTTGTAGATGGATGGTAAGTACACCATTAAAGTACATCATGGGGGTATTTTTGAGAAATCACACCTTATGACATACATGAGAGGAAAAATCTCAAATTTTGATAATATAGACCAGATAAGATGTCCTTTATTCAGATTCAAAGGATGGCAACTTAGTTGGGATATGGGGAAATCAGTGAAGTGTTCTACAAAGTACCTAATGAATGGCAAAAGTTTAATAAAGTCAAATGTGACTTAGATGTATTTAGAATGTTTTATGACCATGAAGCCCATGGGGAAATCAACAAAATTAAGCTGTACATTGTTGCACATATCTTGTTGAATGAAGCACCAAATGAGGATGTCTTAGGTGATGATGTAGGCTAGGGTGTAGTGTGGGATGAATCAGACCCCATTGTTCCTGTGTCAAACCTATATGGTCCTAATGATAAGTTGATAAGCTTGAATAGATCTGATGATAAAGTTTTTGATAGTGATTCTAAGTATCAATAATACATTTCTTCAAGGGATTTAGGAGAAAATGAACTAGAAATAGGTATGAAATTTGGCTCTGTTGAATATTTTAGGTTGGCACTTAGAGAAAGAGCATTGAATGGTAAGTTTGATATAAAGTTCAAAAAGAATGATAGAGATACGGTAAGTGCAGTATGTAAGGCTGAATGTGGTTGGAAAATATATGCAAGTAAAATAGAAGGTGATGATTGTTTGATAGTTAAGTCATATGTGTAAGATCGTACAAACTATCTTTGGTTTCATAGCAATGCACAAGCCTCATCATCCTTTATTGCAAACAGATACTTAGAATAACTGAGATTGAACCCAAAGATGCCTTTGACTACACTTAAGAGCACTATTGCTTCTGATTTGGACATTGATGTGTCAAACACAAAGTGTATAGGGCTAAGAGGAAAGTATTAAAGATGATTGAAGGAAATAAAGAAAAGCAATATGAAAAAATGAGAGACTATTGCAGTTTAATCTTGAGAACTAACCATGGTAGTATTGTTAAATTGCAAACTGAGCCCACTGGTGTTGAGAATGAGAGAAGGTTTATGAGAGTATTTATCTGTTATGATGCAATGAAAACTGGTTTTAAATAAGGTTGTAGGCCTCTTATTGGTGTAAATGGTTGATTCCTAAAGGGACCATATGGTGGCCACCTTTTGAGTGCAGTAGCCAATGATAAAAATGGACAGATGTTTCCAGTGGCAATTGCAGTAGTGGAGTCTGAGACAAGAGATTTTTGAGAATGGTTTATGGGAGAATTGATGGACGTTATTAGACCTTACCAATATATAACATTTATATCAGATAGACAAAAGGTACACTTTTTATTTAATTTACTTCTATTTATGTTTAGATTCTATTTTAATTTAATTTTGTGGTCTGTTTTATTCTACTTTTTTTAACACTGATTTTCTGTTTGATTTGTCTCATGTGTAGGGTTTAGTAGAAACCTTTGAGAACATGATGAAAGGGTCAAACTATAGATTTTGTGTAAGGCATCTGTATGAGAATTTCAAACTCAAGTTTAAAAGATAGCAACTAAAAATAGAGTTATGGGAGGCAGCAAGGGCATATACTGAAGCAGACTTTGAACAACATATGAGAAAAATAAGAGACTTAAATATGGAAGCTTATGAGTGCTTGACGAAGGTGCCAGCTATTTTGTGGTTAATGTCAGGCTTTACTCAAACTTCAAACTGTGATATGGTCATCAACAACATATGTGAAAGTTGGAATGTAGTTATTGTTGATGCAAGAGATAAGCCAATAATATACATGCTGGATGGATTAGGAGGCATCTAATGCTAAGGTTTCAATGCAAGAGAGAATGGATGTTATTACAACAAGGCTTTTTATGTTCAGAAATTCAAAAGAATCTTAACAAAGTGAAACACCAAGCTAGAATGTGTAAGGTGCATTATGCTGGTGATCAAAAGTATGAGGTTAAATGCTATGGAATAAATGAAACAGTTGACATTGACAAGAAAACTTGCAGTTGTAAGGTGTGGAATTTGACTAGCATCTCCTGTAGCATGCATCTTTATGAAGAATGAAGCTCCTAAGGCATATGTTCACCCATACTATCACAGAGAAACCTACCTCAAGTCTTATGCTGGTTTAATCCTACCCATTCCAATGGGAAGGTTGATAGACCTCATTCAACCACTGTTTCCACCACACTATAGGAAGCCCACTGGTAGGCCAAAGAAGGCTATGAATAAAAAAATTGATGAACCCAAGGGTGGAACTAAACTTAGTAGGTCTAAGGAAAATTTGAAGTGTTCAAGGTGTAAGGAGAGTGGCCATAACTCAAGGACTTGCAAAGCCCCTAAGCCATTGGTGATTGATATACCTCTTCTAAGAAGAGGAGGTAGACCACCCATTCTTGGAAGGGGAAGAGTAAGAGTACCTGAGGGCATGACAGGTAAAGGAAGAGGAAAAAGGGGAGGAAGAGGGAGAGCCAGATGAATTGAAATTCCAGCTCCAGTACTTTCAAACCAAGAGGTACTTTTAATATGATATTTATGATAATTTTCATGTTATGTCTACCTTAACTGAGCTAACTTGTACCACTCATTTTAGGTTTTAAACATACCCTTTACACAACTATCATAAAGTCAGGCATCATTTTCTTCCAGGTATGCTGAAAATAATCCCTTATGTTCTCTGTATATTGGTATGACTTGTTATAAATCATAACAAATTGGTTGGTTTATTAACAAGTTCATGATGGACAGTGAGTATGCCTGTTGGTAGTGAAGATAGCCAGTAATTGCAACTTTTGTTGATACTTTTTGTTAGTGGCTGGTCACTTTTGTCTATGGTCTTCTTGCTGTCAATGGTTTTTGTCACTCCAGGTTGCTGTTGGAGGTTGTTTTGCTGCTGCCATGGCTCATGCTAACTTTTTGGTTATTGTCTATGCTCATGGGATAGGAGAACTTTAGTTCTATTTCCATATATGTATGTTATTAAGTAGTAGTGATGTTGCTTATGTTTATAATGGTTATGTTCTTATGTAATTGTAGTGTACTTTGGTTGAATAGGCTTAGTGTCATTGAATAGGTATACTGTCACTGAACAAGTAATTAAATGTAATACCCCTAATTTTAAAAAGGATATCCCGGGGATTTTAATTTAGTAGTTAATTGCATTTTATTTGATTATGTGTGATTAGTTGAATTAATTTGATTATTTAATTGTTTAAGTGTTTTAATTCGTAATTTGATTATTTAATTGTTTAAGTGTTTTAATTCGTAAATTGATTATTTAATTGTTTAAGTGTTTTAATTAGTAAATTGATTTAATTGTTTTAATTTATTTGAGTTAATTGTTTTGATTTAATTTATTTAATTATAGTTAATTATTTAAGTGGTAAATTTATTTGTTTTGTTTAATTTGGTTTTCACGGGACTGTATGGGACACATATAGTTATATTAGGGTTTCAGTTTATAGCCGGCAATGTATATATCATAGGTCGGTTTATGGGCCAAGGAGGGCTCTGTCTCTATTAAACAAGAATTAGGGTTTGGGATTTGTACGCCTATATATATACATGCTTCTTGGTATTAAGGATTGGAAAAAAAAGACTCTACTCGCGTAACATAAAAACAGAGAGATACAGAGTGAGGTTTTGAGAGAACAGGTTTTGAGAAGGGAAGGGCAGAGGTATTGGAGGCTAGACAGTGTTGCAGTGGTTACCGGAAGTTGGGAAGACGGCGACAAGTTTTGAGTCCAAAACTTCAGGCAAGTTCTTTTCTTCCTCCTTCCCGTTGGCCTGTGTTCTGTCCACCTAGATATACTCTAGGGTTCTAATGGATCAATAACTGAATTAAGCATGTTTTTATATGTCAATTTAACCTTATCTTTGCCTTGAATAAATTCGGTGATGGTTTTTTAAAGTTCATTACAGTAGTTGTTTTCCTAAGCATGATTTGTCTGTGGAACTTGTAGTTTTTGTTTTTGATTTCAACTGTTGTAAACACTCCATGGGGATTATACTGGACATGGTTAGGACCCTTGGGAACAGTCTAAAACTAAATAAAATGGATGGGAAGCGGCCGGTGTTGAAGAAGAAGGTCGCAGAAGTCACAGACGGGCAGACGGCTCTCAGAGAGGGAGAGAGCCGGCTCCATGGAGGAGGGAGCCGGCTCCCCCTGTGATACCCCTCGGATCCGA